ATGTCAGAATAGTGAAAAAAAAAAAAAAAAAATGACCAACAGGTGAAAAATGTTGGCAAATATCGGGTTTTTTTTTTTTTAATGGTACTGCTAATTTTTGTGGACTATGAATAAAAAAAACAAAACAAAAAAAAAAACAATTCCCGACCTCGAGGATCGCTGGATTTTGCACTAAGTTAGGCAAAAAATCTGTAAAAAAAATGTTTAATTATAAAAAAAAAATGAAACCAACGAGAAAAAAACATTTTCTAAAACAATTTCTAGTAACGCAAAACAATTAATTCCTGGAAGAAACGTGGGGTTCCCTGTTGCAAGTGGTAAACATTTTTATTCTGACCTGGACGATTACGCAGATGATTTAAAGTAAACCGGAAAACTAAAAAAAAACTATTTTTAAAATTTTTGGTTAAAAAATTGGAAGAAAAAGTGGCGATTCCCTATTGTTGGGCGTCCTCTAATCCGTACCGGGAAGCATGTGAATAAAGTGAACGCAGGGCTCGTGGTCGCCCCTTGACCGGTCTCTGTGTTGGGGTTATGTACATTGACTGCTCTGCTGTCCCTTTTAAGGATAATGTAAAAAGTCTAGATAGTGCTTATCTTGTACCCCTTTAATATCTACCCTCTCCTCGTTACTGGCTACGGACATGCTGCAAACTCACATTCCACCTTCCGTGGACGTTCACAATATATTTACACAGAATTATATTTTGTCCTTTTTTTTTATCTGAACGTTTCGGCAGCTCTCTCTCGAGTCGTTCCAAGATGGCCCAACTCCGGCGCTTCCTCCACCCGGGACACACGCACGGGTGTCCTCCCCGCTGACCCTGGAAGGTCCTGATGGCGAGAGCTGGTGGGCCCACGTCAGGGGAAGGCCGGTGGCAGCGGACCTTTTCAGTGGAAGCCGGTTTTTTTTAGGTTAAAGAAAACAACGACGACAAAATTAAAAAAAAGAAAATCGACGACTGTCAAAATCCATCCTGGCTTCTCTTTTTTTTTGGCGGTTTCAGACACAAGTCCCTTGTCTGGTCGGCGGGTGCGGCTTCCGATTTCGCACACATGAGCTTTTATCCTTACAGTCCAATGACTTGTGTTGGGATATGTCTATCAATGCGCTTGCGATTGCCAGACCTGAAAGGAGAAAAAAAAAAAGGTTACAATGTAAAAAGGTAAAACAAAAACACACCACTACAAGGATTCTGGCCGATCCCTACTCTACCCAAAACTGAAAAAGAGCATTGGCTTTAGATACACATTGATGGAAACAATCCCTGAAACCGGTCTACAGAACCCTCTATAGACACAGCATCACAGGAGTCTTTCCACATGGCAACAATGAGCACTCAGACATGTTTAATTGGCCATAGAGAGATACAAAGTACCATCGTATATAAACATTGATCAGAGGGAGATAGAGAGATACAAAGTAACATTGTATATAAACATTGATCAGAGGGAGATAGAGAGATACAAAGTAACATTGTTTATAAACATTGATCAGAGGGGGAGATAGAGAGATACAAAGTAACATTGTTTATAAATTGATCAGAGGGAGATAGAGAGATACAAAGTAACATTGTTTATAAACATTGATCAGAGGGAGATAGAGAGATACAAAGTAACATCGTATATAAACATTGATCAGAGGGGGATAGAGAGATACAAAGTAACATTGAATCTCTCCCCCTGAACAATGTTTATACATAGTATTTGAGGTTGAATAAAGACACAGGTCAATCAAGTTCAACCTATATGTATGCGTGTGTATGATCCCCTGTGTGATCTTGTTTTTAAGTGTACCTGTACCCCTGCATGTTATGGTCTCTGAGGAAATTGTCAGAATGATTCGACACTCTCAGCTGATACCACTGCTTGTGGCAGCGAGTTCCAGACCCTAACTGAGGAGAAGCCCCGCGCCCCTTGTGCTTAAATCTTTTCTCCACCAATTTTAGGTGGTGGCCTCTAGTCTTTGTTATGGAGTTTACAGTAAAAAGTTGATAAACAAAGTAGCATTATTACTTTTGTATTTACTGTTTAATTCATCTACAGATCATAGTGCTGAGCTTCAATCTACATATGATTTCAGTTAAAGTAACGCAACAAGTTAAAAAAAAAAAGTATTTTTACATACATTGTTCCTCTAACCCCTTTATTAATCATTAGTTTACCTGAATGAGCTTATTATTTTCCTGATTTTTTTTTCATTCCAATAATATTTAAACTTTTTTCATTTAATTTGTTTTGTTCGGTAAATTTTCATTGTTGCCTTCAAAAAGAGTTCAATTGTAAATAACTTTGCAAAGCTTTGTACCAGAATAATAATAATAATATTATTCGCATCAAACCGACAGTAAAAATATTAGTTTTTAATTTAAATTTAGTCAAATTAGACAAAATCCACTTTTACTTTGTTTTGCCTAATAATGACATTATAAAAACATGTTTGCAAGACAATATCAACAAAAGAAAGCCTTGCTTTTTCCTAAATACAATGTATCTCTGATCTCCTAATAAAGAACCCCACAGGCATCAAACCAGGGATGGGACGTGAATAAAACCAGCAATGTAAAGGGAATTCGTTGTCATGGTCTGAGATAAACGGAGGGAAGGAGTAATTAGGCGACACATTCGTGCCCTAATTATTTCCCTAATTAAAATTTGTGTAGATTACGAAGGATGTGGGTTGTCAGACTCGAAGGAGATGAATCGATCTCCATCAGCACAGAAGTAATATAGTGCCGGTCCCAGGAATGGATCAGATGGGCGAGCGTCTTAAATCACTCTGTCACGGCATTCTGATTGAAAAGTGACAAATGCAATATCCTGGTCAGAAATTCATTTATTTCTATCATTCGCCAGCGCGGCCAGATATATAACCGCATATTCGCTTGACGCGCGCCGCATGCACAAAGCCGGCAGACAAACATCGCCCTTCTGTCCATCCCGCACCAATCTCTGCACTTCATTTCCAGAAATACAAGACCGCCTCTTTATTTCACCCTTCGTTATCGCTAACATATACTGCGTATGCTACCCCTGAGATCTAGACTTCTTTTATTTATCACCCCCCCAATCTTTCTTTACTGAGGTTCTGTTGTATTTTAGAGTTACACAGGCTGAAAAAAAAAGACGCTTTCCTCATTCAAACACTGAGGGCCCATTGACATTGTTGCGGTGCGTTAACACTCGTTATGGTGCCCATTAAAATGAAGGCACACTGCTCTACAATGGACTCTTCCTTAGTCTCACTGTTGCCTCATATCCTTGAGTTCATTCCTGAAGGGACTTAACTTACAGCCCTGACGAGGGGAGATTCCGTCGACCCCTGAAACGCGTTGGTTTTTGAAATCCTTGGTTAATACAAAGTCATTTGTGATAGCACCCCTGTTTTCTTTGACTGAATTCACTCGAGGTTTCTCCTTCAGTTTAGGAGTCCTTTGTTGTGTGGGAGCAGCCACACTGAATCAATTAAGTTCTACAAAGGAGAGTCCTTTCCAATGCTGGACAATGATAAGAAGAGATCCTAACACCTCTTATTTATATGTTCCTTTAAAACGTGAATGGCTGCCAATGGGCTGTGGTGTGTTGATGTGCTGCAATGCTTGTGTGTTGACTTATTGAGTGTGCAAGAAGCCCAATGTGACCAAGTTTACTATATGGACCAACATACATGGTGATCATGTCTCCCTTTTAAACCAGGGGTATCCCTACACCTTTCACTGCCTGAGGCCAGGAGGGGCTGGTGATGCATGGTCCCGGGGGATGGGGGTGGTGGTTGGCTGGCAGTTGTAAAGGGGAGCGCTGACGGTGCACAATAATGGGTTGGGGGAGGGGTGATGCATGGATGCTCTGGCTCCGTCCAGCATTCCCCCCCCCCCCTCCCCCCCCCCCCCCTAGCTTACTGACGTCACTGGTTGCCAGGAGCTGAGGAGGACACCAGGAGCATCCCTCTCTGGCAAACAGTGACGTCAGTAAGCTGGGGGGACACTTGACAGAGTGTCTACAGGTTGCTTGGAGCTCTTAGCAATCTGGGATGCTGTGGCCAGACAGGGGGCAGCAGGCACACCTACCTAGGGCTGCAACAACTAATCGACATAATCGATTATAATCGATTATTGAAAAAGTTGTCAACTTTTTCAATAATCGATTAATCGGCTTCTGATTGGTTGGCCCTGTTCACGGCTCCACACACGCTGCGCGTCACACCTCCTCCCCACCTCACGCTCGCCGCTGCCAGACCTGCCCGCATCCACGCTCCGCACCTCCTCCGCGCCTCACACTCACCGCCTGCCCAAATCCACGATCAACACTTTTTTTTTCTTTTTTACTTCCACCGCTCCAAGCTTGCTGCAATCTCAATACAAACTAGAAGTCTCATCACTGGAGCCATTTTTTAAAATGTATTTTTTATCCGATTAACCGATTAATCGAACTTAATAATCGGCTAACTAATCGATTTTGAAAATAATCGTTAGCTGCAGCTCTACACCTACCGCCCCCCTCGTATGAGCCAATGAGATGCTGCCTCATTAAAGGGATGGCCCTGCCCCTAACTCCTCTTCTCATGAGAGAACTTTGTACATGAGCAATGGAAGTCCGAGCTCTCTCTGAGTATATACGGCTCCGTCATTCATTTACTGCCACCGAAGCTGTACCCAGGATGGCACCATTCCCTCCAAATCACATCACTGAGACTACAATCCAGCAAATCATTGTCTGTACTCTAAACGGATCGTTACAATGTTGCAGATTGTATCCCACATTGATTTATTGTTACACAAGTTTTATAGTTTGCACGACACGTAGAGCTACTCCCAGCGATTCGGCATCAGTGGCGGCTGTATGAGGGATACAATCTGCAACACTGCAACTATGTATGTTCGGAGCGCAGACGGCGATTTGCTGGATTGTAGTCTCAGTGATGTGATTTGGAGGGAATGGTGCCATCCTGGGTACAGCTTCGTAGTAAATGAATGACGGAGCCGTATATATACTCAGAGAGAGCTCACTGACAGCGGACGTATAAAGTTCTCCCCCGAGAAGAGGAGATGTGATCACCGAGTATAACGGTCCATATAATAAACGTGGCGGGGAGCTGACACCGCGCCGACATTCTTCTCATTTGGCTGCGTCAGGGAGACATTGTTTGGAGGTTTCTCTTTTCTTTGGATACTTTGTACGTGTTTTATATCCTCTGGGGTCTGCGGCTCGTCTTCCTGTCCCCGCGATTCTATTAGTTTTGTGATCACCTTTTTGTTACCCTGTGAAATCCCAGCTACATATTATTTTATATTGTTTCTTGATTCCGTGGCAGATTTCACAGCAGATGGAAGCCGAATGTATGAAAAGTACGTTTATTAGGTCTGGACGGTTCCGCGGTGTCATCTATAGCAGTGCTTCTTAAAGTGTGGGCCGCAAGTGAACAGGGGGGTCGCGATCCGAGTCCCCGGCCAGGACCACCATCAGGGGGGTACAGCCGATACTTGTGTGAGGGGCCCAGATGGAGAGAGACACTGACCGAGGCTGGGGGGGAGAGAGAGACACCGACTTACGCTAGGGGAGGGGGGAGACACCGACCGACGTTGGGGTCCCTTAAAAATTTCCTCGGCCAAAAAGGGGTCACGAGTGGAGAAAGTTTAAGAAGGCCTGATCTATAGGAGCAGGGATGTATTTACATACTGTGCTGTCCTGGGCACACTTTGAAGGATGACGCCCTCCTGTACACGCTTTGCCCCCATCCTCCTGTCACGGGTTTATTTTAGGAAAAATGAAATATTGCCACAAATGTCCAGAGGTGGACAGGGTTCGGGTTATCACATTCTTGGTGCCCCCCTCACCCTGTCACTCTAGGCACTGGCCCGCGGTGTCTTATGAGAAATACATATGCACAAGAGGGGTTGGATGGTGATTTCCAAAACATGAATGCAGATAAATTTGCTACACTTTGTTACATTTTAAACCCATAATGTTTGCAACATGGTCTGTTGGTTTCATGGGCTTCCTGATCATGTGATTACTGTTATCGACTGTTCTAGTGATCACATGATCAGGATCCCGGCCTACCGCCTCCTGATCGTCATTCTGTGACCGGGAGCCATCGGTGACAGTGTGGGGGGTGCTCGGCACAAAGC